GGTATTTTTGTGACCCACAGGTAATTGCTCCGGATTTGCGTGTTTGTTTCCCAAGGAGGGTTGAAGTCAGGCAGGCGGCGGGTCGTAAAAAAACCAAAGCCAGAACCGCTTACAACACGATTCACACGTTGAGCTGACCCCACCTAGGGCAGGAGGAAGATGACTACTAGTGGGCGGTCGTCCCAGTGTTAGTGATGCTTACTGCTAATGGGGCCGTTGCTTAAAGATTTGTAGAAGAAGGTTCCGCCGCCACGAGAATCGAATCCGTGTCTTCGAGAATCTCGCTCCGACGCTTTAACCATTAACAACAAAAACATTGAAAACATAACTCTAAAACAAACAAAGACAAAAAAGAAAACTACCAATTTTGCTAGAAGACAGTTTTTACCAATTGTTATTAATTTAACGTTATGTACTGAGAGTGGTATCCATACTTGTTCTTATAATTGCATTAATTCCTAACAAAGCTTCTGTAAAGAACGGAACTACACTTCCATTACAGAACTCTATTACAATAAGAATAGAATTATGAGCTGCAGCGATATGTGGAACAATGGCAATGGCCAAATAACACAAAAGCAAAGACAATAACAATAAAACAAATCACAAAGGCAACTAGCGCAGTAGGTGCGGTATAAATGAGCGCACCACACAAGGAGCCGGCAAATTTGCACTGCACTCCACTGGCAACACTGACTATTTCACTCATACACTTACACAAACATAACTATGCAGACCTCGCGTCTAGGCGAAGATGAAACTCACATCTATCTCAAAGGTATTTAGAAACAATTTCATCTAGCTGCCGCTACGGGACATCAGCTTATATAGTGGTTTTTTGAATTCCACTTGTGCAAGTTTGCTCTCCTAACACGTCAAAGGATTATAAACTGTATGTCGGTTAAAATAATAGTTGAATTGGTCGCATAATTGAGCGCAGGATCGACGCGTGGGCCACATTGAAAAGGTAAATGAGATTTATGGAGTGCTCGTATGCAAATGGAGTTGCGTAGGATTGCTTCGTTTTACTTTTTATTTGAACGAGTTGAGCATTGTAACAACAAATCAAGTAATTCCGACTAAATAATGTTTTACTTCGTATTTGGATGCTAGAAACTTTTTTTTTATCTGAAACGTTGCCAAGCGACCAGACGGTTCACCTGATGTTAAGTGAATACCGCCGGCCATGGACATCTGCTACACCCGAAGGTTAGAAATGCGTTGACAACCTTTTGAAAATTGAGCTCCAGCCACCTCACTCACCAGACGAAACGCGAAAGTATTATGCTTCCACTTTACGCCGGTCTTCTATGAGGTCGTGGTACTTAAACGGACGAGCCAGCCCATTCGTGCAACAGCCGAGGCTGCTACGTGGCCCTACCACCGTAAAAAAAATCTGAGTAAGTTTAACTAATGATTAGAACTAGAAATTCTTAAATTTATTGTAGTATTGTTATTTATATATTAAATTATATGGAGAAGGGTTTCTATCTATTTTCCAACTCTATACGATAAATTAAAAAAAATGTGCACGTAAAATGGGGATATAGCTTTGCGCGAAGCTTGCTTTGATTCGAGCTCGTGAATAATCTGATAACGGAACTCATGCACCCCGCTGACAGCTGGCAGGCGTTAAGGTGTTTAAATTACACGTTTAATAACTAATAACCTCTATAATAGCCACCGGATACCGTAGTCTGTCGTAGCTTTCTCTGCCTAACTTAGATGAGCTTTTATATACGATCTTAAAATCGGTTTGATTTATCGTTTAAATCTAGATATTGCTTGATAACATTCACTAACCTAACCGAGGGACGACACAGCTTAGGCGTCTAGAAGAGAAAAAGTCAAATTTTGCACATAAGTCTTTAATATAACGTCATAGACAACTAAGGAAGTATATTTGAAAATTCGGGTCTGGAAGAAGGAGAGAATTAAATTTCGGGTGTGAAATAGCATGCATATAAAGCGGGCACGGTTAGTAATGAATGAAAAGAAACAAAGATGAAGGTGTTTAATGTAAACAGCTGAATGTAATAAGTGCGTGCAGGGGCGACCTGGGTTCGGTAGAGTGCGTGGTAGAGTTGTTTACGCCTCGGCGGATTACCGCGCAGCCACAGAGCGTACGCCGCGCCGTAGCCACAATTGTCTACGGAATATATTACCATCTTTGCGTTATACCCTGAAGTATTTTCGGTATTAACTATGAACCTTATTACGTGTCTGATTAAAATGTAAATAACTTGACTTCTAATCAAAGTAGGGATTATAAATTGAAATTCATTGGAAAACAGTACGAAATAATCAAATTAAAATTTTAGTGAGTAATGGAATTATTGGAATGTACTACGATAAATGTATCAAAGTACTTCAGAATCATTTGAAAAAAAAAACTCCGAAAGGATCTAATAGTTTTTAAATTTTATAAAATGAAAATTTTATATCCAATATTCAGATTTCAGATATCTGCATGGATCCAACAAAAATAATTATTATGTTAATTAGAATAAATTCGTCTTTTGAATTGCGAACATCTTACTGAGTTTTATCTCGTTGGGTGTAAGACAGCTAACCGGATTTTTTCTTTTGTCTGAAAAACTAAAGGTTACATATTAAAACGGAAATTCCAATGAAGAAATATCAAAATCGAAGTTATCAAAAACCACTGACGTATCTTTATCTCCGAAATATATGCCAATTTATTTGACGAAAAAAAAGTATTTAGAACAAACATTGCCTTTAAATAAACCAATACCTTATACTTTTCCTATTATTTTTCAACAAATGTATATTTATCACTTACGAAGTTTTTTTCACAAAGAAAAAATAATACTAAACAACGAACTATATTTATCCTACCTAGAATTGTCTGAACAACCTTAATGTTCTAGTGTGAACGACAAACCAGTGATTACTTGAACAGACAAATAATCGTCAGCTTCCCGAGTTCCGGGAACATTGCCGGACGTGTCGCATTGCGGCTCCGTTATTTTCGTAATCGATTCCATTTACAACATTGTTAGAGCACGTGTTTTACTAATATTTGTTTAGTTTATCGTCTTCTTACGTACTATCATCTCTAGTTTTAGTTTCGTTGAAAATATCACACAGTATCTGTTCGAAATCATTTCTATAGGGAATTTAGTTAATATTGTGGATACAAATTTTGATTAGGGTTTTCCGTTTTTATTTTCCTTACTGTATTGTCCTTGTTTTTTTTTTTACTATTATTGTCTTGCTTTGTTGTATGGTTTTACTTATAAAAAAAATTAAGAGTGTTTTTAGTACATGCCGTTCATTTATATATCATTCACTTTGTAGTATATTCTAAATTAAATGCACTATTTTGTTTATTTTATTTTTATTAACTTTTGTTGAAGAAACTTTTTGATTTTTCTCCCCATTATATTGCACGCCGTCAGTGCTTATAACTGTACAGGCACTAATGAAGAATAGCTGTATCTTATATTAGTTTCGCCTCTAATAAGTGTAAGTTATGGCGTTCATTAAATTAATTAATAGACAATGAGTGATGAATTCCGTTTTAAAATAATTGCAGTACTACCATATGCGTTATTTGGGCCTGAACCATGTCATTACTATTTATATGATAGAGGGTTTAAAAAATCGTTAGTTAAAATAAAATTTTAAATGAAACTTTTTGATCAATTCCTGTGTAATAACAGTGACAAATAAATTAAGATAAAGTTCCTTGCCATCCTCACTGTAAATTAATTTAAATACGCTGCATCTTTGTCAGAATTGGTGACGAGAACAAAGAAAGTACGGACGAAATAATTAAATAATGACCCATGTCACACAAAGTTATTAGATGGATTGTACCAGATGTTGTTGATGATCCATCATAAAGTTGTTTTGGGGGCGACACCGTTTTATGCTAACTTCGCACACAAACTGTTAGCTCAAACTTTACACGTTGGTAAGTACAAAATTACAGCATGCCATACGTACGTATATGTACTTTGTGATAATGTAATCAGAATTTATTAGGGACCGATTCTTTTTAACCGACTTCAAAAGGAGGAGGTCTCTCTGTATTTTTTTTAATGTTTGTTACCTCATAACTTTTTACTAACTGTACCGATTTTGAGGATTCTTTTTTATTACAAAAACTAGTGCTTCCCACGTGGTCCCATATTAATTACATTGGTATTAATTCCTGGGCTCCGGAGATGCTTAGGGAACTCCTGAAAATCAATTATAAAACGAACACAGAGCGAGCATTTGAAGTCGGTTTTGTTTTTAGTTAAAAAAAAAATGGTTAATTGCAATTTATTCGAGTGCTCTCTCTAAATAATCCTACCGTGCTAATGTAACAAATATTTTAGAGGTTTGTAGGAAGAATAGTTTTTTTTTTTAAGTAATATTTCTTTTGGCCCGCTTTGGAAAAAAATTGAAGAGTGAATTTTTACGAGGCGTGACATCTAAAAGCGACATAAATTTTTTTAAAAGTTTATGTCCTAGGCTTAACGCCGCGGCTGGTGACAAGAGACCTGGTTCTTTTCTCGCGCAAAGGTTGAGCATAACTATTCAACGAGGAAATGCAGCAGCGTTCTTGGCACCACTTTTTAGACATATGTAATTTTAGATAGATTTAATCTTGTAAATATTAGATTAATAAAGATTGTCATATTCTATTTAGATTTCCAAAATCTCATAATCTCAAAGCGACATCAAAGTCATGATATTACCATGGAAACCAATAACAACTTTTTGACATTTTACTCAATACTACACCCACGTTATTTTTAGTTATTTTTCTTTTTTTACGCTAAACAAGTATATTGTGTTGAATTATTTCTTCTTTTATTACATAATAAAAAGTTATTTCCCGGTCATAGCAAATGTGAAATGTGGCTTGGCAAAAAGTGATAGCTTTCTGAAGAATATACAAGCGTAAAGGACAAAAGATATAACCAAAATACCTTTGTTACCACCAAAGACATTTTCCTTGTAATCAAAACAAAGGTAGGGAACTACGTGAATAATTGATTGAGGGAGTGAGCTCTTGAATGCCTCACAATCATGTTCTCTAGAGCGTTGTCTACATGCGGCGCACTTACTTGAAAGCTTTTATGTGGCTCGCGATCAACGGAGATGATTCTCACCACGCCTGTCCCTGGAAACGTTAACCATGGAGTGTTTGATCATTAAGATGTTAACAGATTTACCTCCGTTTTGAAGTGATGTCAATAGGATATAAACAGCGCGCTTTTGCAACACAGTTTCTGAAGGGTGATTTTCATAGAGGCTTGTAAGATTGTAAAATATTTAGCTACCTGTTTGCGGCGAACAATGTAGTTACCACCTCTACCGAGAGACAACAAGCGATGACTTCACGTTACATCATTTTTGTCAATACGTATGTTGGTTAAGTGAAGTACGTAGTTTTTGGATTGACATTTTAATAAAAACGTACATGATTAAAGGCCAAGAACTTAAAACAAGTGCTACTATCAATCAGTAAACATTAATCAATTTGATATTTAAATAGAAACTTAGGAAGCGCGTCAAAATTCTTTGAAGAGTTTAATTTATTATATTTATTAGCGTAAATACAAGAAACCGTTATTATTGAAATTACAGTGTTATGCAATAGCCTTTTTTAAATATTTAATCTTTATGTGGCATCCAAATTGTGCTTAAAGTATTTTGAAATTTTATATTTGTATAATGAAAATATTATAAGATATAGGAACTGCACATATTTTTACCTCTTAATCTATAACATGTTTATGTGACAATTCACATTGTGTCGAATTTTTTAATTAAAAATGCAATTTTACTTCAAGTTTCTAAAAAAATATTTTAAAATCAGTTAAAAGTATTCAAAGGAAAAACGTTTGAGAACATGTTTGAAATAGTCCCCTCAAACTTTACCTCCTTGCCCTATCTAGCGAAGCCGATGTAGTTGCCAGGCAGGAGGTGTGCACGCACTTAGAGCTGGTTTCCCAGGCCGCGGAAGCATCCCGGACATGTAGAACCTCGCTCCGTCGTCCTCGTAATGGATTCCGTCCATTAACAACAAATTCGGGATTGTGGGCGTGCCCAGCGGAGGGAAAGGGAAGTAACTTGATGTTTCCCAAATTTATTTCTCCACTGTCTACGTTAAGTGTAGTCCTTGTATAAAACGTTTGCATATAAACCATGGGTACTGTAAGAAACGTATTAACTTGCGAGACTTACGCCCGGATTTATCTTAATATCAGATGAATAGTTTAACCATCGTTTTAGCAAATCAAATGAGATTAGAAAAACTATTTGACAGTTGATTAGTTAAGTTATACGATGATCAGTGTTTCAGAAATCGGGCGTTAGTGGTGATCCCGACCTGGTATGAACTTATCTGCCCAGTCTCGGCCGCAGCCAGCCCTTCGTTGTTCCAAAGGTTGCGTTCCGGAAAGTGTGTACAGGAATTGCATTATTTAATACTCCACATTCCGTCATCGGACAACAGACGCTCTGCAGACCTCCATCCCTTTTACACTACATTTACATTTTTATAAATTTTACACAAATTTTACTCCCTCAAACTCTCACCTACTCTCAGACCTACTCTCTCCTGCTAAATGGAGAGAAGGATAGTTCCTTTCTCTCTCTTTGTGCGCTCGTAATCTTAAATGAAATTATTAATTATAACACTGTATTTCGATATATGTGTTTTGTACAAAAGCATTTCCAAGATTAGTTCGTGACTTGACCGTGTGTGATTTTAAAGGCAAATGCATCAATTACCGAGCAGAGCCTTCGTCTGCAAGAACTTTGAACTCAATGTAAAACATGGCGAAAGTTGGTAGACAGGTAATTAGCCTACAAACTACGAGGTGTTGCGAATTGCACGATAATGGAACCGTCAAATATAATTCCATTTCTTTCCGAATGATAAAACAAATTTATTTCAAAGTTACATCGTTGTTATAAAACTGAGGTCGTTGACACTGGGTTGCGGGTTACAATTATTATAACACTTTGCATGTATCGTTCTGTAAATTCAGGAGTAGGTCATCGTATATTTTGTTTGTTCATTGTTCAACTGCGTGGCACTCTATCTTACCATAAATAAGAATAATCATCTCATCAAGAGAATTAAATTGTTTGTAAATGGTGTATAGTATAACTTATTCTATCGTCAACACAGACATCAGTGACTACAAAATTATAATATTTGTTCTCAACTGGCATGCGCAACATACGTCACTAAATATTCATCGTAATCTATTTGTATACGAACGTACACGGAACTAAAAATGAAGCAATCATATTTGCTACACTATTTTTAAAGCATTATCTGCATCCTATGTAGTTAGGCGTGTAGTTTGTCGAGCAGTAAGTAACATAAAGTAATTGGACAAAGTTATCCTTTTGATTGTTGTTTCGTATAAACTATAAGGGGTCACTCGAATCCACACAAAGTTGGCTGTGCTATTTGATACTTTGCCCAATACGAGACAGTGATAAGGGGGGTCCGCAGCCGTGGCCACCGTTTGCGCTGGGTTCGATTCGACCATAATTTCGCCCGCTCGCAGACCAGCCAATACAAATGGCAGCACCGCCGGCGCTGGTGCGATAAACCCCCGATTTACGTGTGGGTCCACGGCTTATGACCACAATGCTTTGTTTCCGGGTGCATTACGCGCCAGCGCCCTATACGTTCGTGACGCACCACGGAATTAACGACAGGACATTGTGTTACTTTATTGAGTATCGTGCACCGTTATCGATTTGTCTGCACGTCGGTCTGCATGTTGGCTTCCACGTTGGAAACGAAATCATGTGCCGTGATTTAAAAAAACTTTCATTCGTCGAATCTACTGGTGACAATAGCTATCTATTAGCTATTGTCAATAATGTGCTTAAAAGATTAGTTTATCTATATCAACTAATCTTTTAAGCACATTATTTCCTTGTATTGATAATGATATGATTGTCATATTGGTTAAGAAAAACTAATCAACGCGAATAAAAGTAAAGGAGAGGCTGTTGTGTTCTGTTTGCAGCATACACTAGCAATCTGAACACAATATCCTATTTTACATTTGAAGGGACATATTCAGTTTTAAAAGAGCCTATCTCTTTTAAAACTTTTATTTTTTTTATTTTTTATTAATTGGAATAATGTTATTGAAAATCAATAAATAACAACGAAAAAACTTAAAAAGAAATAGAGCGTAAATATTCAGCATGGATATTGCTGAAAAAGATATAATGAAATATATATTCCTGAACCAATTATCTAAATGGAACAAAGAGACATTGTATTTTCGTACAATGTATTTGGATATAAATGAGTTCTCAGGGATAATATCATCAATTCAAGAAAGTAATCCGCCTTAAAAAAGCTTTCCATATCGACTAAGATAAATGAAGGAATGTTAGTTGTCAGTATTTCACTGAGGGTTATCATTCGCGTTAATTTCCAACGAACAACTTTAGGAAAAATATCACAAAAAGGTAATTTTCACAAATTGAAGAAACCGACATACGTATTATTTAATTTCATTGGGGTCAATTTGAAAAATTTCATGATGAGCTTAGTTGTAAAGCGACCAAGTTCCAAGTTATATAATTAAAATACAATTGCATTGGATGTATTCTTCACAAACAAACTGTACTGGCACACGTAATAAAATTTCAATTTTTCTTTTTTCACGCTAAATAAGTCTAACGTACTTTAATACGAGGAGTTATATTACACAAAACACACATTATTTTTTGAAAATCACGAACCGTCATTTATATTTGAGGATGGCCAGTCGATAAAAGCCATCATTAGCCCAATCATAGCCAGTCTGGACATGAAAGTGTCCGTCAATGGGAATACGAAACGTGTGTGGGAGCCCACGCCAGGGGTGGGCACATCGAGGCGCTTTGTTTGCACTCTAATGAATTATACAAATCATGCACCCCACTTGCGCGACTTGTCGGACCAAGTTTCGAGAGGAAAACTAATAAAAGTGCGGACGAAGGAACGAAAACACGATTCTTTCGATTACAAATAACTTGTTATACAGGAAAATAACAAGCCGCAAGCAAGTTTCGGAACAAATCAGTATTTTTTAGATCAGTGCGTACTTCTCAACTTAATTTTGAAGTTATTACAGTATGTCTACTTGTAACTTTTTATGTCGTGATTATTATTTTAATTAATATATTTGCCATTAATTATATCTTTGTTTCAACTCGATTCTAAGTTAAATGTGACTTTAAAAGATGTTGTTGGAAAATTTTTCAACGCTGCTTTTTTTTAATTTTGCATTTGTAGCTTTCATGGTCCCAACAAGTGAATTACTTTACAGTATGCCAATTTCAAAGAACATTTCACAATATTTGAACTACAGGTCTTGCCTTTGTTTTTGAAGTATTGCGTTTTAATAATCCTCAGTTCCAATTTATTTTATATGTGAGAAGGTGCCAAGAGAGCTGGTGGTTCAATTGATGTTAAGTGATTACCGCCACCCATGGAAATTTGCAACACCTGAAGGATTACAGATGCGTTGCCACCTTTTAAAAAATCCCTTTTATAAATAAGTGGGCATCTTTCTACAATGTTATTAGAAAAACGCGTTGATATTCAAGACGATTACGTAATTTTAAAATTGACAAAGATCGTTCAGACTCGGCCTACTTATTCTCTAAGAAGAGTCTTAACGTAAAGCAACCGTACTTTTGCTATGGGCCTTTGTGTTTCTAGAGTTATGTGACATCTCTGTTATGTATAGACACATATTTTCATCATTACACTTCTAAGCTAATTTTGACAGCTATCATGAAAAACTTAAATATGAATTAATGCGCATAAACATTGGATCATTACAAACAGCTTATTATTTTTAATGATTCCCATTTGAGAATAACGCGGAATTAAATTTCATTGCAAATAAATAATATTTACAATCGAGATTATTTGTAATACACATAAATTGTATTCTACAGATTTAGAGACCATAACAATATGGAAACGTAAGTAAATAATCTTTTATAGACTGAAGGAAACAAATCAGACAAATATCCCACTTTTGTAACAAATGTTCGTTCCTAATAAAATCTGACTGTATCTGAATACTGTACAAATACTAAAATGTACCTTATCTACTTTGGACCTTTTTACGAATCAAATTTAGACATATTCCGACTCAAGATGGGTAGCTTCATGCAGCAAAATATTATGGCTTAAATTATTATCGATGTCTAAACTGCTGAACTCTTATAAAAAAAATTCATTAATACATAGAATATAATCATTGGACAACAAGACACTTAGAATTTATTCTTTTGCTGCCACCAATCCTACAGTTCGAACGGTGACTTTTGTCACATTGCTGCCGGATATACTCAAACCCGAAAAAAGTGAATATTTCGCCAGCCTCATTATTACCATCCTATTTAAATGGGCCTGGTTCTACTGGTCAGGTCGAAAGTCAAGAGCAAACCAGATCAATGTTCGGAATGATAGACCTGTGTGTAAGAAGTTAAACTATTTAGAGAACAATTAGAAAAATCTCAAAATTTTAACTCTGTAAAAAAAGACATTACATTCAATTGATAACGGTTTAATTACATATTTTGGAATTACAGGCAAATGAAAACACCATGAATTATAGTCGCTTTTAGGTGTCGAAAAATTTACTCTACTACTACTTACTTGGTTTACTTAACTTTCATAATTTTTGCTAAAGGCATCTATAACTTCTAAAACAATAAATACCCTTCAAGGAGTTTTACCAAACTAACTAATATTGCTACTATGGTATTGTTACTATGGTCGTATCTCAAAGAAGACCGGCGTGACGACACTTCCAGTGTTACACTTCTGCGTTTCGTCTGGTAATGAGCCAATTTATTAAAAGGTGGCAACGTAACAGCAATCCTACGGGTGCTGCAAATGTCCATGGGCTGCGCTTATCACACAACATCACTTGAACCGCCACAAACAGAAATGGCAAATAGCCAGTTTCTCGCATAAACAAAAAGTAGGACGATCCTTATATTGTTCATCAGCTATACTGCGTGTTTATTTAG